GTCTTTTAAACATATCCCTGAGGTATCCCGGTAATAACTGCTGTTTTTACCCTAATGCGGGCAGCCTGATTGTTTCCCACAAACACCCATACCTCTATAATCTATCAGTTTAAATTCCTAAACAAGTCATCAATTACCCTCTCAATTGAATTGGCTAATGCAACCACTCCATCCCCAGAGAGATGAACCCCATCCCTTGCATACATATCACATTTGCCAAAGAAAAGGTCCCAGTTATCAATGAATGGGATTGCAAGTTCCTTGCAGTACCTGTCTAGCCAGCAATTTATACCAATTGCCCTAGACATCCATTCACTGCCCACTCCCTTTCTAGGCAAGATGCTACATATGACTGGGATCCCTCCCTTAGACCTAACTACTTCTATGGCTGACCTGTACTTGACCTGTACTTATAACAGACGGCTTCAAAAGGCCATCACTAGATGGCAGTGAATACCACTACAATGCAGGAGTGGTTATGGCCTCCTCCACTTGTCACATGACACATTTTAATCGTTCAGAGCATATATCAGGTTTCTATGTTATTTATATTATTTATTATGTCATATTAGATGAATTTTGATAGATAAATAAGCCATAGAGTGTATATTAGCAAAATATTGAAGGAGTATTTTGTCCTGTCTTCAAACTCTTGTCCAATGCCGGCACCACTACATAGTCACATACGTAATGACATTTTATTCATTCTAGAGTATATATCAGGTATCTATGTTATTTATATTGTTTATTATATCATATTAGATGAATTTTGATAGATAATTAAACCACAGAGTTGATATTAGCGAAATATTGAAGAATTTTGTCATGCCTCCTGAGAGCCGGAACAAAGTAATTGTATTTCAATTAATTTAAATGAGGAAAATTGACTCGGCATATGAGTAAATCGGGACACGAGCAAGGTCATGGAACAGATTAAACTCGTTAAGTAGAGGTTCCACTGTATATGTATTTTATTGTTCTGGGCTGCTCTAATTAAATGTCATAGTATATTACATGTGGGCGGGGTGGGGTGGGCTGACCTGCCTGCCTGCCATACCTTCCAAACCTGACTTCCTACAAATAAAACTCACCTCTCACCCTACATTAAGACTACAAATATTTTAAAGTAATGGGTGTATTGTGTGCGTATTATACTTTTTATTGTTTTTAATGCCTAGTTCTATTGCTAATATATGGTATTTATATTTGCAGTGAGGCTCAGGTTAGGGTGTGTAGATGAGAGGCAGGCTACTTCCCAGTAAAAGTAGGTCTTAGACAGGGATGTGTAATGTCACCATGGTTGTTTAATATATTTATAGATGGGGTTCAGGAGAAGGGTGGGATTAAATTATGGGGATTTAACCCTTTGACTGTCGAAGGGCCAAATCCTGAAGTTGCTTCTGGTGTCGCAAAATATTCGAAAAAAAAAAAAATTATTTTTTCTTATGAAATGATAGAGAATCTTTTCCCGATTGTAAAGACACCAAAAAAACGAAATTTGATGGAAAACTGACGGAATTAAGCTCTCGCGAAGTTAGCGACTTCGGCGATATTTAAAAATCGGCAATTTCGCCCACTTTGAGCCCTATTTTCGGCTAATTCCGTTATTCCAGTCAACCAAACTCATAACTATTTCTTCAGAACTCTATTTTTTCTATCGATTGAGTACAAGAAACTGCCCATTTACCGATTTCAACTACCCAATAACATGGTCAGAAATTTGCAATTTGGCCAATTTCACGAAAATTAAAAAATACGACAATTTCAAAATAAGGTCCAGAATGAACAATGCAGACATTCCTGGCTCTAAAATAACATTTTCTTTGTTCATCAGTCATGTCTCCAGGTCCCTGTGATATTACTCTTGCTTTTTATTTTGAAATTTTATTCAAACAAAAAATAGAAGATTTACTGTTATGCAGACTACTGCAATACTGTAATAATTGTAAAAAAATTACATCAACCCATTCATGACTGAGTATTAGAATGGCTAATTTGGACATTTATTGGACAATGACATCATTTGTTCACTTTTGAACATCGGCAAAAAATCAAACAATTTCCTGTACTTTGTGCTCCATTTCCAGGTTCTTTTTATAGTAAAATTAATCAAAATCACCTCCATTTCTATAACATATTTTCCATTCTATCAAATGAGACCAAGAAAACGAGAATACAACCACAAATACTATACGAAAATAGACCACAAAGTCGGCATTTTAATTAAAAAAAACGGTCGGAGTTTTTTTTTTCTCATTATGCACTGCGTGCTCCAGGATTTTTTTTATGTGGTGCACACTGACCACACAGATCCATTCTCTCACATGTGGGCCTACTAGCTTTCTCCTGTCTGATTTGAAGCCGCTAGAATTTATGAGTATATATACGTCAAACACGGTACCTCGCAAACGTATATATACGGCCGCGACAGTCAAAGGGTTAAATACAAAATGGGAATCGACACAGTTACTTTTTGCTGATGATACTGTGCTTATGGGAGATTCTAAAGAAAAACTGCAAAGGTTAGTGGACGAATTTGGGAGTGTGTGTAAATGTAGAAAGTTGAAAGTGAACACAGAAAAAAGTAAGGTGATGAGGGTATCAAATGATTTAGATAAAGAAAAATTGGATATCAAATTGGGGAGGAGGAGAATGGAAGAAGTGAATGTTTTCAGATATCTGGGAGTTGACGTGTCAGCGGATGGATTTATGAAGGATGAGGTTCATCATAGAATTGATGAAGAAAAAAAGGTGAGTGGTGCATTGAGATATATGTGGACGCAAAAAATGTTAGCTATGGAGGCAAAGAAGGGAATGTATGAAAGTATAGTAGTACCAACACTCTAATATGGATGTGAAGCTTGGGCTGTAAATGCTGCAGTGAGGCGGCGGTTGGAGGCAGTGGAGATGTCCTGTTTAAGGGGAATGTGTGGTGTAAATATTATGCAGAAAATTCGGAGTGTGGAAATTAGGAGAAGGTGTGGAGTTAATAAAAGCATTAGTCAGAGGGCAGAAGAGGGGTTGTTGAGGTGGTATGGTCATTTAGAGAGAATGGATCAAAGTAGAATGACATGGAAAGCATATAAATCTATAGGGGAAGGAAGGCGGGGTAGGGGTTGTCCTCGAAAGGGTTGGAGAGAGGGGGTAAAGGAGGTTTTGTGGGAGAGGGGCTTGGACTTCCAGCAAGCGTGCGTGAGCGTGTTAGATAGGAGTGAATGGAGACAAATGGTACTTGGGACCTGACAATCTGTTGGAGTGTGATCAGGGTAATATTTAGTGACGGGATTCAGGGAAACCGGTTATTTTCATATAGTCGGACTTGAGTCCTGGAAATGGGAAGTACAATGCCTGCACTTTAAAGGAGGGGTTTGGGATATTGGCAGTTTGGAGGGATATGTTGTGTATCTTTATATGTATATGCTTCTAAACTGTTTTATCCTGAGCACCTCTGCAAAAACAGTGATAATATGTGAGTGTGGTGAAAGTGTTGAATGATGATGAAAGTATTTTCTTTTTGGGGATTTTCTTTCTTTTTTGGGTCACCCTGCCTCGGTGGGAGATGGCCGACTTGTTGAAAAAAAAAAAATTATTTTTGTTTAAAAGTGAGAGTAGAAGGTGGGTGTGAGTGTGTGAAGTCTACCAGTAGTGTGTAGTGAGGCTAGCCACAGTCGCCTCCACTGTATCTCACAAACACAGCATCTGGTATTCGCTGCTCCTGTCCTCTTCTCCCTCACTTACCTATCTATTTCCCTACCTTCTGTTTCCCCCATATATGATAATGTCCTAAACCACACTACTGTTTACATAAATCATCAGTTCATATTATTCTTGGGTTAGTGAATACACAAGTCAAAGTCTGTGTAAGTAAATATAAAAATTTATAAAATTCAGCAGAACTGTTTTACTGCATTCAAATAAGTATTTCCAAATCTAACTAAATGAAGCTGTTGCAGGTGTTTAACAAACTTCCATCATAAGCCATTATTATATTACTATTGTTTAACACACTTCCATCATAATCAATTATTATTACATTATTATTGTTTTTTTTTACACATTGGCAAGGGATGTTAGATGAATTTGGGAGGGGATATAAAAGAAGGAAATTAAAAGTAAACATAAGAAAGAGCATGGTGATGTGTTCAGATATCTGGGAGTAGACTTGTTGGCAAATGGTTAAGACTAAATTAACCATAGAAATAATGAGGAGATAAAGATGGATGGGTGTTGCATTGAGGCATCTGCAGAGACAAATAACATTAACCATGGAGGCAAAAAGGGTAATGTATGAGTATAGGGGTTCCAATACTCCTATAAGGGTGTGAAGCATGGACTGTGAATGTTGCAGCAAGGAGGACACTGGAGGTAGGAGAGATGTCGTGTCTGAGGGCAATGTGTGATGTAAATATTATGCAGAGAATTCATAACTTGGAGATCAAGTGGTTTTATTGGGGTTACTAAGAGTGCTATCCAAAGGGCTGAGGATGGACTGTTGAGTGATTTCGACATTTAGAGAGGATGAAGCAAAATAGGATGACTTGTAGGGTATATAAATCTGTACTGGAGGGAAGGCAAGGTTGGAAGGAGGGGGTAAAGGTGGTTTTGTGTGAGGGGCTTGGAGCCCCAGCAGGCATGTGTGAGCATAATAAGATAGGTGTGGAGGCAAATGGTTTTTAGGACTTGATGAGCTGTTGGAATTAGAGCAAGGTAACATATTATGCAGGGGTTCAGGGAAACCAATTAGCTGGGCTTCAGTTGTGGAAGTGGGAAATACAGTGCCTGCACTCTGAAAGAGGGGAGGGGGATATCTGCAGATTGGAGGGACATCTGAACTGTAGTATTTGCATACATCTGGCAAAACAGTAACAGTGTGAATGATGGTGAAAGTGTTCCTTCTTTTTCAGGTCATCCTACCTTGCACCATTATTTATTGATTTTCAACATACAAAATAATTATACTTAAAATACTCTATAAAAAATACTTAATTTTATTTACTTACTAATATGTCATACCAGGAATTTGTCAGATCTACAACACTATGTTCTCTCATGGTATCCTTAATTCTACTGTTGCGATCAGTTTCTGCTTGTGAGTGTATAATTTCTCTGTCTACCAC